TGAAAAGAGGGCCTCCTTAGAACTTCTACGCTGTCAATCGGCCTCAGGAGAATTCCAGCCAGGCGTAATTCTCCCTAGGGCAGCACTGTCCAGTTAAAGTATTGTATGAACTTTATATTTTCTACTAGTCACCTTAAAAAGGAAAGAAGAAACAGATGACAAAATTTTAATGTTTTATTTAATCCTTATAGCTAAAATACCATTTCAACCCATAATCAATGTGAAACAACCATAATGAAGTATTTTCCATTCTTCATTTCATACCACATCTTGCACTGATATCACCTCCCAATATGGAGTAGCCCCCTCTCAGTGCTCAGAAGCCATGTGAGGCCCCCAAAACATGGCCTGTTTTGAGTATAGCGAGTTCCTAGGTTGCACCTGCCACCTTTGACTTTCCCTCCCATAACCCCTATTTTTGGGACCTAGAGTACTTCTCTGAGTTTCCAGAGCACTCCTCTGGCTATGACCTGGCCTGGTGAGGGCTGCAGGCAGGCAGGGCCGGGCAGAGGCCCCCACCACGATGGAGGCAGGACATGGTGCCCACAGTTGGGAGCTCTCAGCTCATGGCTCTCCTTGGGTCTCCCAGGGGGAAGATCTCTTGGTCAGAAGCTCGGAACTCATCTACTCGGGGGAGCTGACTCGAGTTATACAGCCTCAAGCCAAGAGCCAGCAAAGGATGTTTTTTCTCTTTGACCACCAGCTCATCTATTGTAAGAAGGTATGAGTTGTTCTGCCCTGCTGTATGCCCCCTGTATAGAGCAGGCTGAGGGAGTGCAGCCCAGGGCAGGGATCTGCTGCCAGAGGGGTGAAGCCTGGTAGACCACATGGGCAGAACCTATCAGGCCATTAGAGCTGGGATGAGGCGCTCTACAGGGTGAACCTAGTCATGGGGTCACAATCTAGTCACAATCTAACCAGGGCCCAGGGCTTTAAGAACACCCCTTTCCTAACCTGGCCCTTGTCTGCTCCACAGGCCCCCTCTTCTCTCCCTGAAAATCTCTTCTTCCTTCCCCAGCCCTAGGCTCCTCTCTCCCAACTACCCCTAAGCCTCTATGTTGGAGCTTTTGCTCATCTTGCAAAATGTGGTACAGTGGCCACCCCCACCCATGAAGCCCTCCTGTGCCCTGGAGTGTAGTGTGGGGCTGCTGCCTTAGTGTCTGTGGCTGTCTCCCAACAGACTGCAGCTCAGACAGGGCTGACGTCTGGCCAGTCAGTTGCTATGCAGTGAAGGAGCAAGGCTCCTCTTCTTAGGCTCAGCACAGCCCCAGGCCCTCTTTGACCCCCGGAACCTCACCATGAGCTTGTGGTGTGGGTGCACTAACATGGGGCCTGGCTGGTTGGTGGGGCCAGGCTGGCTGGTGAGGGTGAGCATGGGTTGGTCCTGGGAGTGATTTGATGGCCAGGGCTCAGTGTGGCACCTGGCAGGACCTGCTCCGCCGGGATGTGCTGTACTACAAGGGCCGGTTGGACATGGACGGCCTGGAGGTGGTGGACCTGGAGGACGGCAAGGACAGAGACCTCCATGTGAGTGTCAAGAATGCCTTCCGGCTGCGCTGTAGCACCTCAGGAGACAGCCACCTGCTATGTGCCAGGAAGCCCGAGCAGAAGCAGCGCTGGCTCAAGGCCTTCGCCAGGGAGAGGGAGCAGGTGCGGCTGGACCAGGAGACAGGTGCGAGATCTTTTCAGGCCTTGCCTGCCTCTCTAGGTTGCTCCCCTACCCGAGACCCCTCCCCTGCCCGGTAGTAAGTATGATCTGCAAAGTGATAGAGCGTTTCTCAACTTGAGGGCCTGTGGGTCTTGGGGGGAAGAGGGTTCTGGGTATCTCTTGGCATAAGATTCTGCCTGGGGCAGCTGGTGACACAGTGGTTAAGGCAGTTGGATCTCACATGGCTGTCTTTACAGTTTGAGTCCAGAACAGGGTGGCTTGAAAAACATACTAGGTGCATGCATATGCATGCCCAAATCCTGAGGGGAGAACAGAGAAGGGACTATGGCATGGCCATTCCCCCAGGGGGTGATTTCTCACTTTATCTGTGTTTCAGCGAATTCATGTGCCCTCTAGGGAAAAATATAAAAAGATTCTGCCTTTATTGCCCCACTTGCAGGATGGCCCTTCCTCAGCCTCAGCCCCAAGGCATGGGCCTGCTGGCTTGAGCAGATATTATCTCACAGCACACAGGCACACACATGCACTCCATAGAGCAGGGCCTCTGCTTAGTGCTCCAGGTTGTTGGGACCTGGGGGAACCCCTGGGAGAGCACTGGAGGGAGATCTGGGAACTGGCTTCCAGAAGCCCTTCTTCCAACCCCACCCTGCAGGAGCAGGCATCTCCCCTCCTGTTCACGAACCCAGGCAGTACTCTCGGCAGTGACCAGGTCGGCCCTTGATCTGGGCAGGCGTCTCTGTGCAGTGGAAAGAGGACAGGTTCCAGTGAGATGCAGGCAGAGGAAGGGCTTGGAGGGCTCTGTTCCCTGCTAGGGGCTGGAGATAGGGCACCAGAGCAACTCTGTTGCCCTGGGGAGCAGTTGCTGCTGTGGCCAGACTCAGTCCCTTAAGTGTGGTGGGACCATGGGCACTATAAGGTGTAGGTATACACAGAGGGCTGTATCTGGGCCAGGACGCACAGCACAAGGCGACCAAGTGGGGAGGAGAGGCAGGTCTCACTTGGCCTCTCCCGATAGGCTTCTCTATCACGGAGCTGCAGAGGAAGCAGGCCATGCTGAATGCCAGCAAACAGCCAGCCACTGGGAAGCCCAAGGGTAAGTGAGTGGTAGTTCCACCTTTCCAGCTACTTACAGTGGCTCAGCACTCCCCTGACCACCATTCTCTTCTCTAGCCCTAACAAAGCCAGCTAGCCATCCTGGTCCTCAGGGCACATAATGCCCTTTGCAGGTGTGACAAGGGGCCACTTAAGAGGAAGTGTGGGCCAGATCCAGGAGATGTTCTGGCCCAAAGGTGACAGTGATGTTTCCCCAGGGCTGTGCCCAGCTGTCTGAAAGGAAGCTAAGATAGTCTCCTCACTTCTGCAGACCCAAGGCCTAAAACACTACATGCCTTGCACGGGCCCCTGTCCATCCCCATTAGATAGGAGCAGCTCAGGCTCCTGGGGGTGGTCGGCAAGCAAGTTGTGGCCAGCTCCACCATGGAGGGCCCGAGGAGCACCCTAGGATGGACCGTAACAGCCCAGGGTACTGATGACCTACTGTCTCTTCCCACCCAGTCATAGGCCGGCCCTGCTACCTGACACGACAGAAGCACCCGGCACTACCCAGCAGCCGGCCCCAGCAGCAGGTCTTGGTGCTGGCAGAGCCCAGGCGGAAGCCATCCACCTTCTGGCACAGTATTAGCCGACTGGCACCCTTCCGCAAGTAAGCCAGCACCCACCTGACAGACAGCACTTTGTGGACCTACCTGTCAGTGGTCCCCAGCTTTTCCTCCCAAGGCTCCTCTGGCCCTCCTCTGCCTGTTTGCAAACGCAAAGTGAGCAGGGGTGAGCAGGGTCACGCAGTGCCACCAGGATGTGCTACATCTGTGCTCCTGGTGAAGTGGCAGTGGGAAAAGGCCCTCACGCACATGCAGCCTGAGTCCTTGCCTGCCCCGTCCCTGTGCGGGGTCCCTCCTGTGAGCCTGGGAGACATGGCTCAGAACTGAACTGACCAGGCCAGCGTGTGAGAGAAGGCTCTGGCTGCTTTGGACCTTCTTTGGAACTCTAATCAGCCCCCACCTTCTCTGGGCGCGAAAGAGACTTGGCTGGGCCCTGCACAGCTCGACCCAGTACCCTTCTGCCCTCCGTTGTCCTTTCAGCCTCCAGCTGAGCTGGTGGTGTTTGCAGCTTGCAACTCAGAGGGCAGAAACCAGGAAATCTGCACCTAAATGTCTGGCCTGAGCCCGCTCTCTTCCCTCCCAGTCCCTCTAGACGCTGCTGGCTCCTGGACACCCCCTTCACGTGTGACAAGTGTTTATAGTGGGAAGAACAAAACAGCAGTCAGCTGCGGACTTTGGTCTGGGTTTGTGACCAGTCCATCTGTAGCTGGGGGTGGCCCCCAAACCATCTGGTTCCTGTTTTTCTTGCTTGGATTTTGTCATCTTGTTTTTCTAACAATGGAGAGAAATAATTGTTAGTGACACATAAAGAATGCCTTACCTTAGTGAGTGTGAGAAGCCATAAGGACTGAATCCCATGGCCCAGCCTCCAGGCCAGCCCACCTGCCCTGGGCAGTGGGCACGTGGAGAGGCATCCCATCCTGCCCAGGGGTGCCAGGAACACAGCCCGGGCCTGGCGTGATAATGCAGAGCCTAGGGGCCTCAGCAGCATGGACGGTCACTCTTGCACTGTACCTTCTCCAAGCCAGAAACTACATTTAATTTCATAAAGAAACTTGTGAAAATTAACTGCTGCAAGCCATCGTTTGTGTTTGTACATTCTCTTTGGCATGCCCATCTTCCCTTCCTCTGCATTCTCCCATTTCTGCCCTAGGCCTTCCTCTGGAGAGGAGGAATGGGCCTGGCAGCCTCCTGTGGGTGGTGGAGCAGGGAGACCCAGGGGAACTGAAAGCATGGAAATAGGGCCTTGGGAGCTGGCCCTGTCCCCCACCCTTCCCTGAACTATTCCCAGTCTGTCTAGCTGGAGCTGGCTGGTAGAAGTTCCCATGATCCCTCATTCTCCTTGGCATAATGGAGAAGAACATGCGCTCCTAGGAGAACCCAGGCCATGGGAGCCAGAAGAGGAGCCCAAGGTGGCAACCTCCTCAAACCCACTGCCCCTTGCAGCAATGCCAGCTCAGGCAGCTGACTACACGATCCTGAGAGAAGTTCCACTCAGGCCAAGCACTCTCAGATAAAAACCCACATGGAAAAATCAGAAAAAACAGGATATGCAACACAAGTCAATCTTTATTGAAAACTGCAGTATTAATACATAACAATTCTTGTTACAATAAACGTGCTTTTAAGAATTTTAAATCTGAGCTCATCTACTCATCAGATTGCATAAAAAATTAATGTAGTATGAATTTACACCTAATTGAACTGGCTAAGGATGAGTGTTCCATTCCTTTGTATTGACACTAAGTTCAATGCAGAGGTGAGGGATGCTTTTAACACTGGAAGACAATGCCGACTTACGCTTAAAAAAAGTACCAAGAGAACGGTGTAAAAAACAGTATTTAAAAATCATTAAAAAAAAAAAAAGTAACTGTTTCCTATTCGGTCACGACCCATGAAATTCCTTGGGGCCTGTCGTTTAAATGGCCTTGGCAACCCCGTGGGACTGCAGGACAGCTCGTCTTGATCTGCCCAGTCTAGGCTGCCTGCTGCCCAATAGGCTGCATGAGAGCCACAGTGCAGTCCTGTGTTGCTGAGGGAGGTACTGCCGCTCTGGTCCTGGGAGCGTGCCAGCTCTGAAGCTCATGGGTGCCCTGGACAGAGATGCTTCCTCCATCAGCCCGTCCCAAGTGGCTAATGGTCTTTAGTCCTGGGGACTAAAGCAAGGTTATCCCCACGTTCTGCATTCTTCAAATAAATGGGGAGTCAGGGAACAGTGACGAGCCCTCTAAAACACATGTGAGATCAAACTCCCAGCTTCTAACCGGCCCACTCAACATGTCACCTGCAGTATTCAGGTCTGCCACCCTTTTAGAAGCTCAGCTGAATCATAAGCAGCTCAGAAAACACATACACACACAGACACACACAGACACACACATTCAAGATGTGCTGGAGTTGAGAGCTAAGCTCTCTGTCCTCCTGTAGGCAGCCCCATTCTTCTTTAAAGAACCCTTTAGAAAGCACCAGAGAGAAAGACCAGACATTGCCCCCCGCCTCAAGCTACAACCTTACCCACCTGCTAGTGCATGCACTAGAGGTCCTGTCCTGGCTAGGCAATGCCCAGCTGCCAGTGACTAGGGCACCGGTCAGCTGCCAGATGAGAAGGTGGCCCTACTGTCAGAGTAATACTGTTTTTCAAATGTTTAAAAGTGAGTGAAACAATTTGATCCCCTTTCTAAAGCAGCCTCTAATACTTAACACTGGTGGCATGCCAGTCTTTCACCATCCCCCCACTGGCACACTCAAGAGATCCCATGTGGGAACAGCACTGACAGCACATTCCCAGATGCCAGAGAATATATTTCCTCATGAATGACATGTCCACCAAGACACAGGCAAACTCCTTCCTAGACTTCATTCCTCATAGCCAGATGATACCACCAGATGGAGATAGCACTGCATGCCCAGCAGGAAAGGGCAGGAAACAAGACCAGGCCCAGGGCTTCCCTCAGTCCCTTAGTCCTCAGAGACAACATCTGCCTAACACTCACAAGTAAGTTTCACAGAACAGCAACTGGCAGGCCTGACAACCACACCAACAAGATGCATCACAAGAGACAGAACAGGTTCTGGAAGTACCCTGTGGAAGCGCCAGTGAGCCTGTTACCATGACAGGCCCTCGCCCTGAGCCTGCCACACTTCTCAGAGGCAGTGCACTCATGAGGACAACAGCTCAATGCTCAGCCCCCAGCTAGACCCAAACAAAATTCCTATGAGTGAAGAAATGGCGGCAATAGCTACACAGCTGACAGAATGCATGTCCCAAGTCTCAGCAGAGGGCACAGAACAAAAACAGTTTCACTATCCATGATGATGTCCATGTTTATGGAATTAGGTCTTTTGCTTGCCTGTCTCAACTTCTGAAAGAGTAATATTCAGCTGAAGGACTCTCAAATTAGGAATGTCACACACACAAGACAGATTTCTCAGAATATTCTACAATACGCATGGGATACCAAAATTATGCAGCTTTGGAACAGAATTTTGACTCAAGCTCTATTCCTTAATTAATTTCACTGGCACTGAATGCTGTTAAAATTATAACCTATCATTTTATTCAAAGTCTTGATAAATAAGATCTTTTCATCATCATTATTTGATAGCACTGCCAGGTGCCCTGACAGATTCAAAATGGAAAAGATTTCTACACAGATGTATTATATTAAAGCAAAAATATTTGGTAAGGTCTCTAAAACTCCTCAAAAAGGAAAAAAAGACTTCTAAAAATTACAAGAAATAAGAGTTTATGAAGCTGATGTAAATGGGAGAGAGGCAGCCCACTCTTAAAAACTTAACTCAGTGCTTGTGATGACATTAGCTATTTGCGCAAGTCCAACCAAGCCTGCAGAGACATCCTAGAAAATTTGTAACTTCTTCCTGAATGAGAATGGCTCCACCCATTATAAGCAGAGATGTTTCCTTGCGTGTGTGTGTGTGTGTGTGTGCGCGCACTATTTTTGCTGTGTGGGTTTTTTTAAAGCATACAATGGAATCTTGAGTATTTTCTCCTAATCTATTATCACAGAACTGGGAAAAATGACTACTCTGATCCTTGGTCAGCTGAATCCTAGAGCCCTTAGAACCTGTGGCTACTGCAAACCTTACAGGTGGAATCACCACACAGACATGAAGAAATGGCCATGACTATGTGCCTGGATAAATGTCTGCCTGGTGCACACGCGCGTGTGCACATACACACACACTCTCTCACGTGGATTAAGTGCTCATGAAGCAATTTAAAGTACTTATCAGTAAACAGTCTATATTAATAGACAACAGGAATAAGGAATCTTCTGTTTACAATGATCCATGCAAAAATATTCCTAAACTTCTTATAAAATAAAATGTGAAAAAGAAAATTATGAAGAATAGTTACTATAAAAAATAAGGTTATGAAAGGCTCAGTGGTCAGTTATCCCCCCACCAAGTGAGGCTGGAAGCTCCTGGGCGATCGCCCCAGTAGCAGTCGAGCTCTGATACAGCTGCCAGACATGAGAAGCGCAGAGCCCCTCCCAACCAAGCACTCAGCACGCGCAAGCGCAATGACAATGGAGTAGGAAAAGGAAAGGATGTAACAAGCCTCACAGGCCATGGCAAGGGGAAGTCCTCATACTCTCCCCACCCCGACTCAGAACAGACATGCACGCCCATCGATACAGTCAGGCTTATTTAGGCAAAAACAAAAACAAAACAAACACCTCTTGATTTCTTATGTACAATATTCAGATTTTCAACTGCAAACTCTTTCCATAATAAATCCAGGCATAGCTATGCATCTCCATGCTGCCTAGCCCTTTCTGCTACCCATACTCATTTCATGCTGAGGACCTTCAGCTGTAAGAAGATAAAGCAGAAGAGGCTTCTAGACACTAAGCACTGGCCGGCTTGTCTCCTATCTGCCCCACCCCTGGGACCCCTCCAGTCAGTCTTAGAGGACAAGTCACTATCAGGTGGGAGATCCCAGGAGAAGCTACAAGTTTCTCTATCTTCAGACATATCCTCAGCCCTGCCCCTCTACAAAAACATGAGGAATTAAATAAAATTGTGTTCCCTTTTACTCACTCTTAAATATACAATGTTCCTTATGACATACAGCTGAAATCTTTGCCTTCTGTGTGTGTGTGTGTGGGGGGGACAGCAATGCCTATGTGTTTTCAGCTGACTCAACATTTCTCAGGGGAAAAAAATGGAATGATTTTCTAAGCTACATAAAGCAGAGGAACAATGCCTCCTCCAAGTGTGGCTGCCTCTCTTTCACATATCTCCATCCAGGAAAATAATTTAGGTTTACAGAGGACTTTCCCAATAAAGATACATAAAACATCACCTTGTCTGTAAGAGTTGTAATAAAAATGTGGCTAGCAAAGAGCACTGTTTTACTGACACACACACCACCCTTCCCCTAACTGTACTGGCCACGCCACTCTGACCTTTCATGAGGAACTTAATGTCTTCTGTCCCACTAACCCATCATACCTCCATGTACAAAAAGGGGCTTCCACTAGCTGGATGCACTGAGCAGCTGCATCCTTGGCAAACCCTGCCTAGAGCAGTCAACGCCAAAGAAACAGCCTCTGGAAAACTAAAAAGTCCACGTCCCTAACTGCAACCCACATAAATCCAAGAAGGCTGAAGAACCATCTAAGATGTTTCAGATGCTCGATGAAGAAATTCACTTGAACACTTATATATGTAAGACTCTGCATACATTGCAACAGTGCATTAGTGATACAGGTTGTAGGAACGTTTCCACTCCTCTGGGTTTTGCATATGATGGTTTTGCATCAGTCACTGCAGGTAGATTGAGCAAGCTTTGTTTTTGTGTGTGTTTTTTTTTTTAAACATGCATTCAACTAGATATGATTCAGAATAGATTAATACTCCCTTTTTATCATTACATTTAGCTAAAAAGTTGCCAGGCAGTCCACAAAACAAGATTTGCTTTAAGACCAACCCATAGAGTTAGCTGGGACTAACGGCGCTGGGACCTGCTGGGCCGGGACGTAGTTGTATTTAGCTAAGTGTCGAGAGCATTAAGAAGAAAGTCCTGGTTGGAGGCGCAAGGCCTGCAGCACCAGCTGTGGAACCTCAATGATGTGACTGCACAGCTCCGTCCTCAAACCTGGAGAGAAAGACAGACACACAGTTGCAAAGGCCTCTTCCTGCACTGCTACTCAGAGACTCAAAGGAGGACAAGGTCTGTGAGGGACAGAAAGGACGGCAGCGCCCAAGACCGAGGGCCTGGTCCCCGCCTGCCTCAGGGACCCTCAGCTACAACTGGAATTCCACTTCCTACAGCAGGCAGTGGGAGGTTTTGAGCACATTCCAGGTGCAGACCAAGTGGTCTGGTGTAGACAACAAAGGACTGATGGGTTGCCTTCTTGCTTCTACTTTGTGGATCCCCACTAAGAATGAGCAAACTTAAATATCTCACTGCTCTTGGGGTATGGGACAGGCACATTTTTCTCATTGGTGCTTATATATGGCAGGTCTGCCCATTTCCACAGGGAAGTGTGCTTTCGTCAAGGGCTGAGGCACTCTTCACTGGTCACTTACATTTGCAGGGTGATCACCACTGAGGGGGCACATAGCTGTAAGTGGGTGTTCCTGGGGCCCGATAAGTGGGCACAGTGACGGGGTGGGGGGCGACAGGAGTTGGGGAGTGAGCAGTCAGCAAGGTACCTGGAAAAAAGAGCAGAATGTCAGACACGAGGCTGGCCTACATACAGCATGGGCCAATTTTCCCAACCCTGCTTCTCACTGCCTGATAAGAGCATGTGATCTGGGCCCATGTAGGGAGCCCTACGGGGATAGGAGGTGGTCTGGAACCAAAACGGTCAGAACTCTGATTAGGTAATCCCGTGGACCCAAAAGTTTTATGAACTTATTAAGCTCATACTAATAAAATATTTGTAAAAGCCTTTGTGGCTACCATAGCTTCATAGAACACACCAATTTATTGTGGGTTAGAAGATAAACAGCAAATAAAATTAGTATTGTTAGTATTATTTAGCCTTAAAAAGGAAGAACATGGGCCAGTAGGTGGTGTGGTGGTTAAGGTGTTGGATCCCATAAGGCCGACTCCAAATCCTGGAGGACTGATAAACACACCAGTGCATTTAGTTAAAAAACTGCCAGGCAGACCACAAAACAAGATTTTTGGGTGTATGCATTCAGAGGAGAATGGAGAAAGGATTATAGCGTGGTCACCCCCCAAGGGGGATATTTTGCACTCCCTACCACTCCCCTCTGGCAAGTGCACACACCCTAAAGCAAAAATTTAAAAAGGGAAGAACACTGACACATTTTAAAGCTGCAACACACATGAACCTTGAGGACACTATGCTAAGTAAAGATAAGTCAGATTTAAAAGGACAAATACTGTATGAATCCACTTATACAAGGTACCTAGAGGAATCGAATTCATAGAAATGAAAAGCAGAATGGCAATTGCCTGGTGTGGAAAAGGGAGAAAGAGAAAATTTTTGTTCAATGGGAATAGAAGTTTTAGATTTGTGAGATGAACAAATTCTGGAGCTCTGATTTACAACGTGAATATACTTCAACATGACTGGTTAAGATGGTAAACAATAAATAAAAAATGAGTAATGGAGATTGAGTTTTTTAACACATTAACAAAAATACAGTCTTCCTACCGACACTGGGTGGCAACCTGAATATACCCACAGACCAGCACCACCCCAGCAGGGCACTTCTTGTGTGCCCAAACCCACCCCAGCGCCTGCTGCCCTCGCTCCAAGTGCTTTGGATGTGCAGTTTCTGTCTGTGCCACTGTAGCCTTTGCTTTCACAGTTAAGTACAGGAAAACCAAATAAAACAGAGATTCTGAGCAGAAACACACTCAGTATCTTGGAATGCCTTTCTTCTCATGTCTAATTTCTTTATACTGAAGTCCAAAAAGACAAGGAAGAGGGAACAGTATTTTTTTTTTTTTTAAATTCCAGTGATGGGCAACCACATGAGTATTGTGTGGACACAGTCAGAAAATGGCCACATTTCCCAAAGGTCAAGAGATAACCTAATCCCTGGACATCAGGTCAAGCCCTAAGGCTTCCAAGGTTCCAGGGAGAAGCGCCCACCCTAGCCAGGGATCACATCTCTCCATGGTTTGCTGTCCTGACTCAGAGGCAGCCTTTGGAAATAAAGTAGATCAATGCCAAAGGACTTCTATAAGCAGCTGTTACTTCTACCAACATAATCTGATTTCCTGGATTCATGAAAACCTCCCCCTTAACACAACCTGACCTACAAAGAAGGTTCACACTGAAGGGAAGACTCAAAAGGGCCGATGTCTCCTGAAACCCCTCTTCTATTTGAGCTTTATATGCTCACAGGGGGTGAGTGGTGTGTGAGAGTGTCTGATAACTATTTCTACCTCCTGCTAAATGCTTCAGCTCACCGACAATGTGACCCCATCAAATTTAGAAAGTGCTATTCATTAGGGAGACCACTGGGTTTATGTTCATTACTCTAATCTCACAACTAACTCCAGTCTCCTTTCGACTGAGGGGAGGAGAAGGAAGTGAGGGGAGGTCAAATGGAAGTTAACTTGTTCCTTCCTCCAAATTTTATGTCTTTCCACCCATTGTAGCTGTAAAAAACTAGAACCAAGGGTCAAGGTCCTTGTGAGCACTCTACTCCCCACAGATCTTGCTATATAGGCCAGAACACAGGAACAAAGACTCACCTGCTGACATGGCCATTGTGGTCCCAGCCACCATGCCCATGGTGACACCGTTGCCCCTGGGAGGTGGGATAGGAGCAGGGTACACAGTTGCTGGCATGCCGTTGGGTTGCACCACTGTGGTGTGGTGGATAACGTGGGGGGGTGCTGCATACAATGGCTGCGTGTAGTATGTGCCTTGCTGTGGAGAGAAGAGAGACAACTGCCATGAATCTCCACGGCTGGGGGATTGGAACCCAGATAAAGCCAACTTCCCCCATACCCAAGCATACCTGTGCGTATGGGCTCTGCTGGGGGTAGGCACTTCGCACAGGGTACACGGCAGTCTGGTAGGGGTTGGGGGAAGAAGAATATGGGGGCACAGCCCCGCTGGTGGGGGAACAGGATACCTTGTAAGGTGTGCCGGGAGTGTAACCTGAAACAAAGAAGTCAGTGGCCTTAGTTAACCAAACTACGTCAGACACCAGTAAGCAGGGAGAACCAGCAGGCAGCACTGCTATGCGTGAACAGTATGGTCAAGATCTGACTCCACTGTGGCTTCACCACTCCTCCACTAAGATCTGACGCCATCTCTTAGATTTTGTGTATATACATGTAGAGTGGGGAGTGGTTTGGAGAAGAGCAAAGGAGAAAGTTCTATAGAGCACATGCTCACAAAGAAAAGTAGAAAACTGGGAGAGCATGCCATCTGGATGCTGAGCAGGAACCTCAGTAGCCCGAGTGGCAAAAGAAAGAAAAAATGGGTGATGTTGAGAAAAGCAAGAAGATTTTTGTTCAGAAGTGTGCCCAGTGCCACACCATGGAAATGGGAGGCAAACACAAGATTAGGCCAAATTTCCAAGGTTATTTTGGGTAGAAGTTAGGTCAGGGGCTTGGATTCTCTCCCACAGATGCCAACAAGAACAAAGACATCACCTGGAGAGGATACATACACTGATGGGAGTATTTGAAGAATCCCAACAATAACATCCCTAGAACAAAAATGATTTTCATGGGCATTAAAAAGAAGTCAGAAGGAGCAGAACTGATAACATTTCAAAAAAGCTACTAATGAATAGGAGGTGGTCAATGCCTTATTTATGACAAAACAGAAATGTCTCACCTTTTTATGTGTACCATATTTTATTTTATTCATTTTTTAAGATTTAATTTCATTCACTTATTTTTAATTTGACCAGACACAACACACACACACACACACACACACAGAGAGAGAGAGAAAGCCACCAGGTCAGGGACTCGAACTGTAGCCGACCATTGGGGAGTGTCCAGCACCTTAACCACCACACCATCTGTTGGTCCCTATGTGTATCATATTTTTTGTTGGACAGTTCTGATTAAAGACTGGCTTGTGATTAAATAAATATTATTGGGCTTTATAAATTGATAGTTCAGTAAATGCTATTACTATTTGCCCCTTTGGTAATTCACTAATAATGCTCATCTTTCTACAAAGATGGTGAATGCCATCTCAAAACCTACTAAAGATTGTTTTTTTAAAATTTAGACTTATATGTAACTGGTTATATGAATATATAAATGCTGGAGAAATCCCTTCATTTCTCAAAACCAAGTAGACTCACTTGTGTTTTCATTTATTCATTAACCTGTTAACAACAAAGACGGAAGATAAAGTCTACTTTATATATGTGGTCATAACCATGCCAATTTAATTAGAATTCCCTATATATGAAACACTGCCTTTTACTTACTAAGACAGTTTAGTGTGGCTTGTGTATACTATCAAATAAAGAAAACATAACACTTTACATTTTTTTAAGAGAGATTTTTGCTATAGGGTGTGTGTGCTCACTGGAGAGACAGAGAGAGAGAGAAAGAAAGCAAGAAATCACCCTCCAGGGGAATGGCCACGCCACGATCTCTTCTCCTCTTGGGATTCTGGGAATGCACACACACATGCCCAGCCTGAGTTTTAAGGTGCTGGGTCTGGGACTCGAACCGTGGTAGACTATGTGGGATCTAACCATTATGCCATCTGTTGGTCCCCACTTTACATATTTTATAAATGATCTGTACAGTCAGATGCTTTTGAAAGTCAGTGTGACAAGCTTGAGTAGCAAGTTAAATTTTACCTTTGAATTATATTATCTAAGTCAGACTAAGCTATATTTCAGTATTATCTTTAGACCACTATTCAAAACCACATTAGAGGGACCAGCAGTTAGCATAATGACTATGTCGCTGAGCTCCCATGTAGTCGACCATGGTTCACGACCTAGATCTGGTGGCTTAAACTCACACCGGGCGTGTGTGCGTGCATGTCCAAGATCCTGAGAGCAGAACGGAGGAGAAGGGATTGCGGCGTGGCCATCCCCCTTGGGGGGGGGTTGGCTTCTCGCTTTCTATCTGTCTCTCTCTTTCTGGCAAGTGCACGCACCCTATAGCAAAAATCTCTCTCTCAAAAAAAGGGGGGAGGGGAACACATAGAAACTGAAGAACTACTGTATATGTGTGACTGGTAATCTGGTAATGGTGCTGTTGCAAATTTATTAGAAGGATTAAAGTAGAGGAGATATACTATCAGCATAGATTTGTAAATTATATCATCATAAGACTTAAAAAATAATTAAAAATCAAGACAGATACAAATAAAGAAAACTGGGTCAGCTAGGTGGCACTGTGGTTAAGGTAGCTGGATTCCACATGGCCAACTACGTAGTTCAAGTCCTGGATCTGGCAGCTTGAAAAACATTCTGGGTGCATGTGTGTGTGCTGCAAATCCCAAAAGAATTGAGAAAAGATTGCAGTGTGAATCACCCCCGGGGGGTGATTCACTTTTCTTCTCTCTCTGTCTCTGTCCAGCAAGCACATGTGCCCTACAGCAAAAACACAAAAGAAAACAAACCCATGGAGAGACACACACAGACAGACCTAACTCTAAGCATGCTCACCACACTGTTATTATGGCAGAAACAAAATGAGCAATTTGTCACAAACATCAGGAATCAACTAAATACCCCATGGTAAAAAGAGCAGTTAAGTACACACACGTTTTTTTTTTCCTCAGCTAAAATGACAATAAAGCGGACTAAAAAATAAAAACACATAATGCCACGTAGGCCAAGAATGGAAAAGATAAGAAATCTGAAGCCTAGAATACTGGGGTGAAACATGACATAGCCAACTCCAGAAAGCCTGAATCTCAGCTGCTGCAGTGAAGACTACAAAAAGCAGCCTGTCACTAGGAAAACCACTCCCCAAGGATTTGAAAACTGTAGGTTAGCATCTGCTTCCAGATGCTGATGAAGAGCTCTTATCTGGAAGTAGGCAGTGAAGTGCCAGCTCCTCTTTCCTCAGGGGCTTGTTCTCTGGAGAGGGTAGGAAAGTGTCTCTGAACTACACTGTTCATAATGACTCAATGACCACCAGCAGATGACTGATACACTCAGACAACACAACGAAATGAGACTCAGCAAGCAAAAGGAAAGAACTGTTTGGGCCTGCTCTGTGGTATAACAGTAATGTGCTTGCTCAAGGGAAGCCACACATGGCTGGTCAGCCTGAAATATTCCTGGCACACACACACTGGAGCCGGTGGGTTGAAGGACTGCAGGAAGGGGAGAACCTGTGGAGGGTGCTCACTCATCTCTCTCTTGCTCGCTCTTTCACTCTCACTCTCATATGCATATGCTTTATTCTGAATTAAGAATAACAACAATAAAAAGAACCACTCATATACACAACAAAGATTAATCTCAAAATCATTATGTTATGGGAACCAGCAGTTAGCGTAATGGCTATGTCGCTGGACTCCCATGTAGTCGACTGCGGTTCGCGTCCCGGACCTGGTGGCTTAAAACTCACGCCGGGCGCGTGTGCGTGTGTGCCCAAGATCCCGAGAGGAGAATGGAGGAGAAGGGATTGCGGCGTGACCATCCCCCCTGGGGGGTGATTTCTCGCTTTCTGTCTCTCTGTCTCTGTCTGTCTGTCTGGCGAGTGCACACGCCCTATAGCAAAAACCTCTCAAAAAAAAAAAATCTTAAAATCATTATGTTATGTGAAATAAGTCAGACACAGAAATATACAATACCTGTGTCAACTGACAGGAAACTCAGTGACAGAAACGTATCAGCAGCAGCCAACGGCCCCAGGCACACAGAAGACCTTCCAGAGAGCCACCTCTAGACATTGGTGCTGGTACACAGTTGTATAAAACTGACCAAATATACCACACTATACATCAAAAAGGATGAGTTCTGGTATACATAAGTTGAACAAGTGCTTTCTAGAGAGTCTGTGTTGGTGTTTCATACTCCTGACAGTGAGCGCTGAGGAGTGGAGCACTCGCATACTGTCTGTGGCATGTCACATGCTGCTTCTCAAGACCCAAATGAAGTTATAGCACCTAGCAAGTCTACTCACAAATATTTTCTCTGGAAAAATGAAAACAAAGGCCTACAACAGAACTTGTAAAAAATATTCAACAATCTTATTCATAAGAGCCAAAAATGGAAAATAACCCGAATGCTCAACAGCAGGAGAAAGACTGTAATACATCTATAAAACATCATTTAGCTATACAGTACACATGGCATAATCTCACTTCTATACCTAGGAACAAGCAAGTTTACCCTCATGATAGGAATCAGAGAGGAGAGGCAAAGAAAACCTGGGATGATAGATTTGTTCCATATTGCTTAGAGTGGTGGTTCCAAGAGAATTGCACAAGTGTCAAAATACATAGTGGGGTACTTTGTGCATAAATTATACCATAAGTTTAAAAATGAGCTGAATGGGGCCAGCAGGTGGTATGGTGATTAAGGAGCTGGATTCCCACATGGCTGACCACATTTGAGTTCTGGATCTAGTGGCTTGAAAATCATGCTGGGCACATGTGCAAGTATGCCCAAAATCCTGAGAGGAGAATGGACAAGGGATGGTGGTGTGGGCATCACCACCCCCCACTCCCCACTGAGAGGTAATTTCTCACTTTCCCTCTGTCTCTCTTTGATAAGCCCATGCACCCTATGGCAAAAACCTGAAGAAAAAAAAATGCTGAGAATAAGAAAATGTAAATGACACCACTAGACTATATTTAGCAACATATATGTATTTTGTTAACTGAAAAGAGTGAGAGAATGAATGACTGTAAGGACACTCATAGCCTCCCCCTCCCTTTAACCACAGGAAAGAAATTTCCCAGTCAGGCTGTTCAACTGTTGCTGCCTTAGCTGCAAGTTAGAACCCAGAGGCTCTTATTGGAGGCTGATCAAGACCTTCACACTGTGCTTCCAAGCACCAGACACCCTGCGAGGTTTTACGGATGGAGCCGTGAGGCTGAGGTCCTTAGGTATGATAGCAAGTGCCCAAATCCATCCACATCCAGAGTCTCAACCCCTTTACTCAAACTAGGCGACTCCTAACCATAGCTAGTCTCCATCTGAAGAGAGAAAA